TATATATACCCCTATTTCTACCGTTTGACAAATACATTTTGGGAATCCTACCATAGCCATGTAAATATATGACATTGAGTGTAATAAAGAAAACTCAAAAAACAAATTTAGTGTTATGTGATGAAAGAAGTCCTAATATATTTATTTTTAGGATACCACTATATTTATTTTTTTGTTCAACCGTAGAGAACTTCATTAAACAAAGTTCAAATAGACAAAGTACATTTTACATATTCCTAGAAAAGTACGACATATAGAAAGAAAAAAAACTTCACATATACAAACAAAACATGAGTAATGGTTCTTCTTTGCAGCACTTACAAAAATAATAAATAAAGAAAACACAAGGGCTTCAACCCAAAAAGAAAAATCCTCAACAGTGGCCCACCCAATAGTGGCTACTAGAGAAAACCGCAGAAGTGTAGGTGATGGTGACAAGTCGCAACTGCCTATAAACCACAGGCGACCAACATCCCACACATCTAATTTCGCACCATAAAATAACAATTGTTTACCCCTAGATCTTACCATATACCAACTTTAGAAGCCGCAAATAATAAAAAAAGTTAAACCACAAACATACAACATTGTGAAAAACTACCATTCAATTGGAGCAGCCAACCCTCACAATTATATTTATCATCCAGGGACCATCAAGAACACATTTCTAACGCTGACAAATAAGACATGAATTCAAAACCAGAAAAAGAGACGGGACAACGCTCTGTGAAGAAACCAAGGTCTTGGTTTCGCACACCTTCATATTAATAAGCGATGATCTGCTCTCGAGGTGGGTAGCAAACATAAGAGCTCGGTTTGGCTGTTTGGGCATTTTGATTGCAAAAAGAAAGTCTTGAGGACTAGATTTGTAGTATGGGTTAGGGATTTGTGGTTCAATTGGAGCCTAATGGAAATTTGGTGCACATAATAACAATAAATAGGGGGAATTTGGAGAATAACCAAAAGAGGAGAAATTACTCATACTTACATCTACCGATAATCAGGGGTTGTGGCAAACCACTATCTTTGGAGAAATGGGGCATGCCATCATTTTTGGAGAGTTGGGGCAAGCTACCATCGTGGGAGAGATGGCGCAAAACAACGCTTAAGGGGATGTGGGGAAGAGACAGACGAGGAGAAAGGTAGAGGAGGAAACGGGAAGGGCCGCCACCTATCAACCAGGCTTAAAGGGAAGAGGTGGCGGCCGGAGGTTTTCTTATTAGAGGGTGAAGAGTCGATGAGGATTGAGCTCACTAGAATACATAGGCAGCATAGTGACGAAAAACAGCATTTACTAGGATACAATTGAATTTAAAACCTTCTACCTACAAATGAAAGATAAATTATTAAAACTGTAGTGCTGAGTGATTAACAAAATAGATAAGTTATCACCACAAATAAAATAAGCTTAATCAAGGGTTAATACTTTAGGACCCAAATGTCCTTTTGGAAAAATACATCTCAGTATCAATTGCATGGACCCCAAGAGGGACAATATCTGTAATTGGGCCTATCTATCACCCAGGTAGATAGTGATCGGTGGTTATATCAACAATACAGTATTATTAGAAATAGTGGGGCGTAGACCCAATAGAACCGTTGAAACTAGATCTTACAGCTTTCGTTTGAGTAGACGAGTTGGGCTTTTACGCTTTGTATGTCTTTTTGAGTCTTTCGGGCCCACATTTGTAGGACCTGTTGCCATTTTTTTTGTAGGCACAGGACCCCTCTTACCTATCGATCAGTGATTCAGTGGAGAAACATGAAACGACGTCTCATGCACTTCCCTGTTTGATCAGTGATTCAGTGGAGAAACACGAAACGGCGTCGTTGATCTCTTATGCACTTCCCCGAGCTTGGAGATTATCATCACTTACCCTCACTGTCAAGTGGTATTTCTACCGATTTGTATGTAGGTCTTAGATTCGACTTCGATACCAAATAATTATGGCTAACTCTTTCTGTAATTTAACCTAAATCTCACTTCTTGAGCGCAAGGGCAGAAGAGAAATTGACTGCAAAAATCATCGGTCAATTAATGAAGCTGACCTCTACGAGAAGGTTTGGCACCTTGGTGTTGCCTCTTTGCCACCTGAGGTTGTAGTAACTTCCAAGTATTATGTTCGCTGATTAGAACATTATGTGACTTAGATTAAAAATGTCATGAGATAGTTTGGTCCATATTTGGTGTGGGCCGTCGCTCAACTTCTTTAAACTTTAAGCGAATGAAGAACTAAGTTTTAAAATGTCATATCTGGTTTTTCACGTTCTGTTATTTATAACCTAAAATTCTGTATAATACCTTGCAGATAAATTGATATGGAGCTATAGTATATGGAGTCATGCTTGCTTGCAGTATGCTTTCATTGGATCTTCTTTTGTCAGTGTGTATTTAAATAATCACACTCCTGACATGCCTAACATAATTGAGTAACGTCCCATTAAATTTGTGAGCCATGGAGGTTAGGTATCCTCAGGTAGTGAAGTAGATGTGTCATCCAAAATGCAGAATCCCAAAAAACTCTTTGTACAATTGTCACATTCAGACGCGGTATTATATACATTTATATTATAATACGTGAATTTTGAATTTATTACATATTAATTATGTCCAACACATGTATTAATATTTGAGTCAGTAATTTATTAAAAAAAATTATCCCAAACCCGAAGGGTATTTTTGTCAAAAAGAAAAATACATTACATTAAGACATGTAAGATTTCAATTAGACCGCACAATGAGTTAGTTATTATCTTGCTCAAGACTTTATACTTATAAAAACATAAGATTTGTGGAGGTACATTCATAGTGACTTAATTTACTGTATAATAGTAAAGTTACTGTTTTTACTGCTTAGTTTGATTAAGAAGGGAACATACCACTGAGCAGAAAAAAGTAGAAGGAACAGATTCTGTGTACATTTTCTCCATTATTTCTGTTCCTTAAAACATATAAGTGCATTAAATTCAAGGTTGAAATTAATTTTTGAAATGAAAAAAAACTTGAATATAATTAGTGGGAAGCTGGATTTAAAAAAAGAAAAAAAGAAAAAACAGATGAACAGTAAAAGCAAATGGCTATTAAATGTCGATTAACGTACTTATTTTTTTTATCAGAAATATATTATTTGATTTTAAACATTTGATCCCCGATATGCTTGTTTCTAATCGGTGGATTGCATCCGAAAAAGGAAAGGCAATGCTATTTGGTTTGGTTGGGGCAAGCGTGGTTGTATCAGATCAGAGCGTTGCAGAAGCCCGCACGTTAGCTCCTTTAATTCCTCAGCTCCTTGATGCTTATGAATATGAATCAGACTCACAGAGCTAGTGAGAGACAGTCTGAAATTAAGAGAGACAGGAGAGAGAGAGGGGAAAACGACAAGACCACTACTGTGGACCATTTTAACAGTACTTTTCACTTTCACCCACTCTCTGTTTGGTTATTCTTGCATGGAATCCTATTAATTGTAACACAATTAGTTAGACATGGAGTATGGTTGCAATTTAAATTTAACTTATGTAGTAATGATCTAATTTACTATTGAATGTAAAAATTTATTCGCGTTTGAGCTGTCTTTTCGATCATTGTAATTATTTTAGGTAAGTTAATTGTCTGCTTTATAAATGAGCGTATGAAGATTTATTCACATCTAAGTTGCCTTTTTCAATTACCATGTTTGCTTGAGGTAACTAGTCAGTTATACTTGTTTGTATTGTAACGAGAGTATGAAGTACTTATTCGCATTTGAGCTACCTTCTCTCGATCACTGTGATTGCTTTAGGTAAGTTATTTGTTTGTGCAACATGCAAATAAAGATTTATATGTGTGTTAGCTGTCTTTTTCGATCACCATGATTGCTTTAAGTAAGTCAGTTGTTTGTATTATAACAGGTGAATGAAGATTTATTCACATCTAAGCAATCTTTTCAATTACCGTGTTTGCTTTAATTAAGTCAGATGTCTGTATTGAAACGAACGTAGAGGATTTATTGGCGTTTGCTTTGCCTTTTTTGATCACTATGATTTGTTGAGGTAAGTTAAATGTTCGTATTATAACATTTGTATGGAACTTAACTCACATTCGATAATTGCAATTGTTTCATGTAAGTTAATTGTATGCACCATAGTATATGTAACTAATGTCTAATTTATCCTCACATTGTTACCTGCACGTTAATTATGTCTTGGAAAAAATGGTCAAGACTAAGTCTTTATCCTTAAATTCCAACGATTAGTAAACTACAAGCTTTAGTTGTTTCAATTTAAGAAATAATGATTTAATTTCTTTACAATTTCAACAAATGTAGCACGTGAAGTGCACATCCCTGGTGTTTTTATCGTTTGAGTTATTTGTATGTTTTCAAACCTATTTTTTGTCTCATTGCTAAAACGTGAAGATCTATTCGCGTTTGAGCTACTTTATCGATCACCATAATTGTTTCAGATAAGTAAGTTGTTTGTATTATAATCTATACAATTGAAAAGGGCTAACATTTAAACATCCCAAAATTCCAATTTACCCTCGCACTACATAGACTACAAAGTATAACTTTGCTCAAGCCATGCATTCAACAACTCAAAAGTCTCAAATCATGATTTGACTAATGAATTAGTAGTATCCTAATCCTTGTGACCTACCAATGGTGTTGAACCTAATTAAGTAAAAGTTAATTAGTCTTCTTAGTATGTGTTTAATTAAGGAAACAATAAGCAAAAAGTGACGAATATCAAGCCAAGCTTACGTCCCTTCAAGGGGTTGCTGGAAATGGGCAATTTTGGGTCATTTGAGAGGTGAAGTGCGTTGAGATAAGAAATGGAAAAAAAGGGGCAATAATGGAAGAGAGGGGAAGGGGTTGAGGTGTAAGGATTAGGCCCCACTGTGGCAGGGCGTGGGGAGGTCTGAACATGACGTTGTCGGTTGTTTTGTAATCTGCAAACTTGCAAAGAGAGAGAGAGCCAGTGTGAGCAGTGTAGTACACTACGCACCCCTCCTCCCTCTCACTCCTCTCTCTCTCTCTCTCTCTCTCTCTCTCTATTTTTACTTGCTATACTAGTTGCTTTAGTTGGATTGTTATCCTTCCCGCTGGCCTCACCACAAGCAACCAACCTGTCTCTTGTTGGAAGCACAGAAGCACAAAAGCACCAACATCTCAACGGACCCAGCTCAAACCCAGCACATTCCCAGCTCCCTCTCTCTCTCTCTAAAACCATAGAGATGTTCAAGCAGTCATGCTAAAGATGCTGTTGCCGCTGTTGGTTTCTATCTCTCTTTTTCTTACAAGCTGTGAGTGTTTCATCTCTCTCTCTCTCTCTCTCTCTCTCCCATAAAGCTGTGTTTTTGACAAGAACTGTTGAAAATTACGACATGGCCAGGTTTTGGTGGGATTAGCACCCTAATATTTAGTACTAAGTTGGAGACGATAAATATACATACTAGGAACAGGATGAATATACATTTAGAGTTTTAGCTACATAGCTATATATATAGCTTCTAATTTTGTCATATATTTGAAACATTTTTCTTCCCTTTTGTGTTTTTGTTTTTGTTTATTTTAGAACAGCAGAGATTAATTAACAGAAGGACTTGGAACCCCAAGAAAGCACACAAATACTGGTTTGAGATCAATGAGACGATGATGCTTTTGTGACAGCTTTTGGTATTAAATAATTGAAGATTGTATGCTTTTGTGACAGAATATCAAAAAATCCATGGATTTTAGAGCTCAAGATAACGAAATGAGGACGTCAGGCTCGCTAAGCTATGCTCATTTAAGTACCAAAGAGTCGTCGCCGTCGTCAGCGGCAGCAGCACCAGCAGCAGATCACCAGCAAAAGAGAAGACTTGGGATTCACAATGGCACTGGAAGTTACGGTTCTGCCACTGCTCCTCATCACCAGCACCAAACCCTAGACAACCACAACCCAGCTGCTCTCCCGTTGCAGCAGTTGATCCGCGAGCCAGATCCGGATCGTGCCCTATCCGGGACCCCGGTGGCCCCACATGGAGCCGGACTCAGTGGCAGTGGTGGTGGTGGTGGTGGTGGACCCAAGTCTTTGGGAAAAGTTGTTAGGTATAGAGAGTGCCTCAAGAACCACGCGGCGAACATTGGTGGTAACGTGTTCGACGGCTGCGGAGAGTTCATGCCGAGCGGCGAAGAGGGGACGCTGGAGGCTTTGAAATGCGCGGCGTGCGACTGCCACCGCAACTTCCACCGCAAGGAGGTGGACGGGGAGACGGCTGCTTTCAGTCCCGCGTCGAGAAGGTCGAGCATAATGCTGACTCCACTTCAACTTCCGCCGCCACTGCCTTCTTCCTCGGCTCTGCACCATCATCATCACCACCACCAGAAGTACTCGATGCCCCCGATTGTCCAGCCGGTGAACGTGGCGTTCGGGAGCGGCGGAGGAGGGACGGAGAGTTCGAGCGAGGATCTGAATGCTTTTGAGGGTGGAGCGGTGCCGCCGTTTGCTTTGTCGAAGAAGCGGTTTCGAACAAAGTTTACGGTGGAGCAGAAGGAGAGGATGATGGAGTTTGCGGAGAGGGTTGAGTGGAGAATTCAGAAGCAGGATGAGGAGGAGGTGGAGAGGTTTTGTGCGGAGGTGGGAGTGAAGAGGCAGGTGCTTAGGGTTTGGATGCACAACAACAAAAACACCATTAAGAAGCAGGGTGACGTCACTGCTACTACTAATGCCATTGCTACAGGTCTGTCTTTTGACAATGTGGAGGGAGAAGGTGGGGAGGGAGCGGCAGCAGCTGAAGATTAAGTGGGGAATAAGAGTAGTGATTAAGATTATAAGAGTTAATTAAGTGAGATTTGTATAAACATGAGAGAGGCTTAGGCTCCTAGCTTTAGCTAGATCAGATATTTGCATGATTATGATTATTTGTCAGTAGTGAAGGGAGGACTTTGTTATTGCTTTTATTATTCAGCTTTAATTTCTTCTTTATGAAGGTCTTGTATTGGTTTTGCCATGCCAAGGAATTGTGATGGACCTTGATGAAAAAGTTGGATAAAGGGTGCCAGGAACTCCTCTTAAAAAATGTGATACATCTCCGTATTTTGATTCTACTCGACCTCACGTTGATTTCATTTCATGTGATTTGATCTCACTTTGGTTTTGTATAATGTGAAAGCTGCACTAGTCGGTCAACTTTACCAAAAGTTTCTCTCCTTTAGATGAAGAAATTTTGTAATATTATTCTAGAATATCTTATACTTCGGAGTTTTCAACTGTAAAGATCGTATCTAAGAGTCAAAAGCCTTAGAGCATAAGATACTCCATGACATAATAAAATTTGAGACTTTGAAGGAAGGAAAATGAAGTGCGTAAAACAGTAAAACTTGACGTGAGTATGCTACGAGTTTGTATACTTTGATTGGCCTCACACTAATTTTACATCTAATCTGATTTATCTCACGATAGTTTCATCTCATATGAAAATTGGCTTAACCCTCCATTTTTACCAAAAGATTTTCTCCATGTGATGAGGCTTTGAAGGGAAGGATATGAAGTGTGTAACTCGACATGAGTATTCTGACAAAAATTGAAGAAATAAAAACACGACATGAGTATGTTCATGTCATGTTTTTGTTTTGTGGTCGTAGTCTCGAAGACATGAGTACGCTATGAGTCTACATTTTCTTGAAACTTTAGCATGTTGACCTTGACTTGGCTTAATTGGACCTTTCCAGTCGATTTCTATAAGTCCAAGTCCAATATGAGTTTAGAGATTGATGCCCAAAATGTGTAATCCTTCAAAATATTGACATTAAAATACATTCAAAAGAGTTACATGTGAGAGATATTTTAGTGTGTGAGAAATATAGTTTAGTATACCAAGTATAATTGATTGGAAGTAAAAAAATTTCCGCACGTTCTTAGTCTTAGAGCGAATACTATTACCTCAACTGATTGTCAATGTCTTTGAAATTCCAAATCAAATTTTTAATGGAATGAGCCCCGTAGCGAAAGAATTTGTAACTAAAATGGTTAAGAGTGGTACCAATCTTATATTTGATTATGGCATGTATTATTATCGTTTACATTAAAAACAAAGCTGGGTGCAAAAATTGTATACATATGATTTAATTACAACATATTCTTGAATCTCTTATTTTACAAAGAATATACAGAAATCTAACATCTGTAGCCTCAACCCATTTCACGGCATTAGAACAAGTCTACCACACTGGCAAAAGACATCAGATATCCATTGGCCACATTTCTTATTCCAACGTCTACAAACCATCGGATATTCCACCTCGTCGATAAGATTAAACGAGGTAAATCTTGGTCCACCAAAAAAAAAAAAAAAAAAATGTAATGACAACGGTAAAATTATGACACCAGATTATCCTGATTCCGGTGTCTTTGAGCTGTGATCATGGTCGTCCGATCCCAAACCCACATCACTAGAAACTAAACATGAGTTAATACATAATCAATCTATTAAATTTGATAATGAAAATATAAACAGTAAACAAACAAAAATAATGCGATAACTTACTGGAATTTGTCCTTAAACCAATCACCCCATGTTGATGTTGTCTCCTTTGCTTCCTTAAAGGCATCCGAAGCAGATTCAGACATGCTCTCGGCCGCACCCTTGGCAGTTTCCATGAAATTGTCATCACCCAACACCGCATGGATTGAAATAAGCAACACCAATGAGAAAATCAACACGAAAGCGATCTTTGCCATTTTTTGTTTTGTTGTATTTTTTTTTTGATTTTTTTGTAGTTTCTCTAAGCAAATACGTAAGAAAACACAATTATTTATTTAGAACTTAAACTCAGGATTGAAACGGTGTTTTATTTATAGGCTAAGGGTGACGGATCATGGGGCCTATATTTGGTAAATGTTTAGGGTGAAAATCATCAGGAATGCTATATATAGAGTCTAAAATTGAATTGCCGTTACTATAGATAACAGAAAAGGTCCTTTATTAGGAGTAGCACGTAAGAAAACCGATATGTTCGAGTGTGGTATGGTTAGTTTGACGTGTGAACGAATTAAACGATTGAAAGCGAACCGTATATTCATTGCAAGTAATTTATACGTGGTGTTATTAATTTATTAAATTACAAATGTGCATTTACATTTAAATTATACCATAAACTCATAAAATATCAACAAAGTTGTTCAATCATATTAAAACGGCTTAGCTAGGGAGACCGTGTGCGGGAGAGATTTTTCACTGTGGTTGGAACATGATTCACTGCATCAAATGTCATAACACAAGTCGTTGGATACTTGAAACAAAATTTCAACCCCTTGTATTATGACACTTGTGCATTAGACCATGTTCTCGACACACTAAATCTTTGCGTGGTGATGATAGCCAGGTAAGATGATAGTGGGCCATACACAAAACATATATATTTGGGCCTAGCCCTCTCGGTCCAAACTAATGTGCTCAAATAAGTCCAACTACTTTTCACTTAGCTACCAAAAACATTTGATTCATCGCTATTCATCAACTGGGGATGTAGCTCAGATGGTAGAGCGCTCGCTTAGCATGCGAGAGGTACGGGGATCGATACCCCGCATCTCCATTTCCAATTTTTCCGCTTTTTAAACAAAGTATACGACAAAAACACCGTTGTCGTTTCTTCGATATCCTTTCTTTAAAATTTTCAAAGCCAAGACACACGGCCTCGATCGCTTTATCTATTAACTAACAATCAAATCGACGGTGCATATTTTCAGACTGGTCGTAAGGACAGCGCCAATTGTTCTTATTTCCAAAACCAAAACGATAAATTTTCCCGCCTTCTTTGAACCGATCTGATCGTCTCTCTTAAAACGAAATAAGATCGATTCGGCGATTCGGATCAAACTGCACTGTATATTGCATTTTGTCTTCGAAATTTCAAGATCGAGTCGGCGAGATGGATCAAATAGCTCCGTGATCATGATCGCCGGTTATCTGAGTTGTTTCTTACATCGTGTCAGAACAAATTTGATTTAATTTCTCGATCGCATGCGTTTCCGTCTCCAAAGTAGCAGAGGTCAGTGGACAACACTTTGATATTGTTGCCGATCATGCATTTCATTAGTGATATAATTTACGTAATCTGTCTAATTATTTAATCCATTTGTTAATTTGAGATTTGAATCACCTACAATATGATCGATGAATTGCTTCACTGGTTACATTGTTTGTGGATCTGTTAATTTTTGTTGTTTTGGTTGCCGATTATGCATTTCGTCATTGATATATTTCACTTTAATTTATTAATTTCTTAATCCACTTGTAATTTGCCTATAGTCTGATGGATGAATTGCTTGATCGATGCACTTTCTGTTGAATTGATTTGCTAATTTTTCTTAGTCGTTTTGGTTTTTTTATCTTTTTTTATTTTATTTTTATAATTGTATTTCATATGCAAGCAATGTTAGGGAGATAGATTCGAGACAAGATCTTGTGTGCTAAAATATGATTCTAATCACTTGTGCCACAAGCTTGTTGATGTTAGATTGCGGTTTTAGTTCATGAAAACAAAAATACATAACATATATTTTCAAGCAGAAAATCATTACAAAAGATAGGAGAGGAACCACATAGGGTTATTTGTCACTTGTAAAAGTAATACATTCACACTTAAGTCTTCTGGCCCCTCCCATCAGATCTTCAGATTTTTCATAAGCCTGAATAGATTAGAAGTAATTAGCATTAGCATATAAAAATTCCATCTTCCAATTATGCATAAAAAATCTTTGTAGATAATCTCAAACCTCCAAGTTGCATAATCAATTAATTAAGCATCTTTTGAGCCAAAAAATGTGATTATCCCAACACCCCAGCTGGCATTATATCTTACCAATCACACACCCACCCCCATACTTAATTAGCTTAACACTCATAATTAGCATCTTTTTTCTGGGAGCTTCGTTTTGAAGTAAGATGTATCCTATTTTTAATGCATATTCGCTGACGTAATGCATCGATTACTGCGGTGTGTATTTGTGTAGGTGTATCGATATACTTATAAACATTGCATGAACTCGAAAAGCTGCCAAGAGGTTTAGCTAGATGCAACAGTGACTGTCACTAGCAAATCCTTGGGATTAATGAGAGAATGTGATAAGTAATTAAAAAGGAAAAGAGATCATCTCCGGATCTCTTCTATTAAGATCATCAGATTATTTATCAAGATCACCGGATCAAGTGATCTTGATTTAATTTTCCAAATTTCTTTTAACGGTCTATCTGTTTTGACCCTTTAAAAGCTGTGATAATTTTTTATTGTTGGATGAAATTTAAAAGATCCGTATCACTTGATCTGGTAATTTTGATGAAAGAGATCCGGAGAAGATTTCTTTCCATTAAGTGTTTGGAGTCACACAATGTTTCTCAATTACTTTAATCATAGGACCATGTGCGTATGCCATCTAAAACAAGTATGGATTAGATTTCATGTGGGATTTCTTTTCTTTCTTAGGAATTTTAGTTGAAAATAGTATGGGATATGGAGGGATATACAAAAAAAAAAAAAAAAAATGGACAAAACATATAAAATTTCTTTGGGAGGACTCAAGTTAGTGTCGTTGGTTTGAACTGTCCCTTCCAGAAGAGGAAAACATAGCGAATGACATTATGGAAAGGGATACGTGAACAAGTTACACACCCATACTGCTCTTGAATCCCATGTCGAGAATGTGACTCTCACGTCGAAAAGTTAAAACTGTATGTAATAGTTTAGATGATCTTTTGTTTCTTTAGGTATTAACAATTAATTTTACGTTGAATGTTCAAATACTAAGATGGTATCAAAGTTGGGATATTATTGACACTGTAGACACTAGAGAATCGTCTACGGCTCTAACACATTTTCTCCACGAGGATGTCTTAGTTTCCTAAAGGAAAAACTTACTTTCATCCAATTTTACGTTGGTAGTGTGAATTGCACATTGAGGAATCAAAACCTAATCATTATCGATTT